CCTTGTACCTACAGAAGATGTGTAGGATCTTATCTTGTCATGGGATTAACACAGATACAGGCAAACTGATTTGAGAGCCAGGATAGGCGCAGATTTATTTAAGGCTTGTGCTTACGTGGTCAAACCTGGTGGTAGGCCTCTAAATTCCAGTTTAGGTACCTAAATAAAATAACCCATTTCTTTGTTTTACAACTGTGTAATTCATACAGTAGAAAAATAGATATACCTAAAAATGTGAATCAGAAAAATAATTTATAATGCTTAGTCTTCTGTTCCTCTCCTTTTCCTGGATGCAAGATACTACACATTGTGTCATAAATAGACCTGACAGTGATTATCCATTTTAAATCCTGCTATTTAAAATGGAAATAACACAGTGATAGCTTGTCACATTAAGTCTGAAGCTAGACATGCAGTCTTACTCAGACCTATATCCAAAATACATGAGAAAAAAGTGTGGCTACTCTTGACATTAGCATATAGACCAAACTTCTTTACAGAGCTGAGACATCAAGAAAATCTAATAGAGTTTTCTTAGTATAATTTAGGGCCAGGAAGTAAGTAGGGAATGGTATTCAGTGACCTCCCATTTGGGCTGTAGAACTCGCTTACACATTCATTTTATTCAGAGAAACTTGTCTGATCTTTTTTAATGCACTCTGCTTTCATTATGTCAGCCCCAGTATCTGCCGCTGACTCAAGCGAAAAGATTGACATTTGCTTTTTAAACTTTATTCGCAAGTGTTTCCTGCCACACAGAAGTAAGTTGTGTGAACTGTTGACTTAGTTTGCATGTCAGTTGACTTATTATCACCAAACGCTTGTGTTGAGAGAATTTTGGTTACAATATTTTTTTACACGTTTTCAGTAATTTCAGCTGCGTTAATTACCATGGCTTGGTATAGACTTCTACAAATGCATGTTTACGATCACACATAAACAAGCATCAGCCTACACAATTTGACAAATATCTCAGTGTGCTGTCACAGAAGACAGTTGTAAGATTCTTTTTTTTTTGACTGTACTTGAGCATATACTGCATTTCTTGTTATTTCATTTACTCTACTATATAGGTCATTTTGACGTGTGATAGGTCTTCAATATGTAACAGTTACCAGCACATAGCAGTGGAGCATTCAAAACTATAAATACTTGAAAACTGGTGAATCATCTTCCACTTCTTATGACTCATCATAAGCATCTTAGTGGGTTTTGCAAGTTAACAAGTTTTGGATTCGGATAATCATAACTAAAAATGAAGTTGTTGTCTGTTTATTACCTCAAAACTACCATTTTTTTCACCAGGGAAACTTGCTGTTATAGAGGACATGGTAGACCTTTCTTTTCAAGTATTTTCTAGAACTTGAGAGTTTATCATCTGAGCTTTTTTTTTCCTATCAAGGAAAGGGGAACAAAAAATTCGGCAAGGAATTTTGAGGTACTGATATATTGTCATAGGTTTTCTTAAGAAATCCTCAAAAATAAATCAAATATTAGTTAGAAATACCTAAACAGCTTGGTGGACTGGCTGTTGAAGTGCCTGTGTGCTTAAATGATTCAACAAACCTTTTTGGCCTTGATGAAAGATGGTGCCTTCTGAGAGGCTTTTCTGTTGTGGGTTGTTGCCCAGTTGAACAACTCTGATTTGCCAGTAGGCCCTCGGATGTTTCTGACCAGCAAAGCCACAGACCCATGTTTTTTCAAACACACATGCTGCCTTTCACAAGACCACAACTTTGTAATTTGTAACCAGGTAGGGAGCAGGGGTTTGATTGTTGCACTTGGCTTTTCATGAGCTTGATTCTGTGTATTATCCCATTTCAGCAGAGACTGGTGTGCCTCACGTGAATCTGTGCCATAAGCAGAGTGTTTTGTTGGGGTGGACCTGGTGATACAAGACATCGGTCACGCATTTGAACAAATTAGAGGTGTCCCTAGCTTTAAAATGGAAGTAGGCATTTCTCTCCTCATAATTGTGCAAGTTAATCATGTCTAATTGAGAAGCCTTCCAAGCCTGTATTTCCTAGATGTGTTAGAGTTGTCAGTGTACTTAATATAAACTTTGGAAATTATTATAGCAGTGATTCCCAGCAATTCTGGTACATCATAGTGTCCCTGTGAATAAAGACAGAATTCCTGCTTTTTTTTTCCATTGAACAAAGTTGGTCCATTCCATAAACCACAAGAAACATCACCATGAATTAGAATTGTAAACTCTTTGGGGCAGAAACTGCAGGGAGTGCCCAGAAGCTGAAGCATTCAAGTTCCTCATTGCTACTGTAATAAATAAATAGCAATGATGAATGCTTGGGAAACCTGGCATCAGCTCTGGGAAAAGAATGACTGCACATGGATTTGCTCTAGTTCTTCCCAAATTGTCTCCAAGTAAAAAAGAATTTAAATAGATTAGAAACCACTATTCTTTTCTGTAAAAACGATATGGAGCCCACAGATCTGCTGTAACTGTATCTGTTCTTGGCTGGTCTCAGTTAAAACTGGGGGTGCCTCACCAACCCACCTAGACTTGCCCAAATATGCCCACACTACTTACTCTCAGCATATGTAGACACAAGTATGTACACACATATTTTTGGAGGGCTTAGTTAAACTGTCCTTCCTTGCTGGGATTTGCTTTGCTTTGAGCTGTCTGTCCAAAACCAATATATCACTTTTTTTCCCATGTTTTGCTCTGTATATGAGAGGCATCTATAAACCTTCTCCCCTCTAAAAGAAGCATTTGTCCCTTATCCTGTTTTAATACAAAACCCACCAGCTGGTGTAACACCAAGATTGTTTAATCATGACCACCAATCCAGAATTGAAAAAAATAAGGGAAATTCCCTGGTATGTCAAATTACATGTGCAGCATCTATTGCTGAATGTGTAATTCATATCCAATTACATGTGAAGCATCTGCTGCAGAAGCCTCGGCCTTTTTGTGGACCTATCGGATAATTTTCCATCACTCAGCGCCATAGAAAATGTCTCTTGGTTAAGTGTATGTGGGGCCACATGTGTTTGCAAGATGGATTCATTAATCATAGTGGAAAATACTTGTCATCTTGTAGAGGTTTTGATGGTGTAGCAGATGCAGTTTTGGAACGTTTGGACTCTGTGACCACAATGTGAAATGTTAATAACATCAGTGTGGGCCTATTTTAAACACAGCTCTGAAATAAATTCTGTTATGGAAGCTGTGGAAACTGTCAAAATGAGTATATTTCCTCATTTAAAGAAATAAAGAATGCTAAAGCTCCCCCCGTAGCTGCTTTCTGTTTTCTGCAGCATCACAGCCCGCTCCAGTATGGAAGTCCAGCTTGTCAGGGTGCAGGGTCGGCGTGTTTTGAGGCCTGTCCTAATGCTGGTGAGCCCAGCGCTGTGCGAGAAGCGCTCGCCACACAAGGTGTTTCTTCCCTGGGTGACTTTGAACTTTCATTTAATGAATTTCTTCTAGACACTCACAGTGGAACGGTGTGCATCGTCTCCCAGAATTAAGGGTATTACTCCAGATTGCATTTGTTGCTCATTTTATCTTTTGCTCAAAGGATGTGTGGAAGAGGGATTTCAGTAAATAACAACGTGGCAAAGAGTTGTTTGATTCTAACTTTAACTTATTTGAAGTGGTATGTTTTGGACTTTGTAAAATTGTTTTATCCTTCTCATAAGAAAGACAACTGTAATTAGTAATTATAGTAGTTGTCAATGAGAATAGTACATCAGATGTTATGACTTAAAATGGATATTAGCCTATTTTAACAAGTCAGATGAGCAAAGACAGCTTCATGTTACAGCTTTTCAGGAAACTCTTCATTGTGACATACAGGAAAAAATTCTTTACATTGAGGGTGACAGAGCACTGGAACAGGCTTGTAGAGTCTTTTACTCTGGAGATACTCAAAACCCGCCTGGACACAGTCCTGTGCAACCTGCTGTAGGCGAACCTGCTTTAGCAGAGGGGTTGGACTAGATGAACTCCAGAGGTCCCTTCCAACCGTTACTAGTCTGTGATTTTGTGTTCTTCTAGCAGAGAAGTACTCAGATTTTGTGATTGCTTTTAACAAAGTTTTGTCTTCAGGTGTTTGATTTATCTTCAGGTGTTAAATATAAATTCAAAATGTGCATGAGTGCACAAGTATCAGTGTTACAATCACTTGTCTGAGCAAAGTTTTCTGCTGTGTGGTTTCCTTTTATCTAGATATTCTAATTACATTAACTATCTGAAATCACGACTAAATGTTTCTTGTGTGTTTGGAGAAAAAAGAAATTAAAAATAAATTTTAGATCAATAAAAATTTAATCTATGCTAAAAAACTTTTAATCTTAAATTTTAAAGCTTGTAATTTCAGGTTTAAATTCAGAGAGATATTGAAATTAAGAAACAGTCAAAATGCAAAAGCAGGGGACTGGAATTTGTTTCAACATTTTGACATTTAAAATGTACATATTCTAACAACATTGTAGAAATTTGATACAAATTTGTAAGCCATTCAATCAATGTATAATTATTTATGCCCTGAAAAAATAGAATCAAACTTCATGTAGTTATCATCATATTAATTATTTTTATATAGCTAATGTACAGCACTTCTTATTAAATTGTTGCACAGGAAGTTAAATGTAGTAGTAACTCTGAAGTCTACCATGCTAATCGTATTAAACTTGAATTTACCAGTTGCACATTTTTCCTATATTTATGGTCATATTTATTCTGTAGTAGGAAATCCAGGCATAAATTTACTACCAAGTACTGCTTTGATGGTTTTGTAGGTTTTCTCGATGGTCTCAGATAAGGATGCTTTGCTGACTTGTTTTTCTCAAGAGATTAAATTGTGTAAACGTAATTGTGAACACAATTACGAACACATCATAGCTGATAAATAGTACAAAATCAACTCTCATGGTTTTATTTTTGAGTTCATATTTACTAGGAGAACATATTACATGGTCTGAGTTCCTCAGTGCTTTATCAAGAAAGTCAAATGCCACTTTTCGTTTTCCAGGGCTTGGTTATTGAACGGCTCGGACGCAGACCTCTTCTCATTGGAGGTTTTGGGTTGATGGTTGTCTTCTTCACAGTACTTACCGTCTCTCTGACTTTACAGGTAACACTACGGTCACTACACATTTTTACTCTTTCTTTTGCCTATTTTAAACACCAGGTGCTCGATACCGTTTTGCCTCAGCATTCCTACATAAGCCAATCCTTTTAATCAGTTTGGCATAGGAATTCAATGGTCTGTCTTTTGCATATTTACGAAATCTGTTGGTTTCAAAGTACTGTGGGTAGCCATAGCAGCTTCTGCATTAAAAAGCCATAGGGACTTGGTCACGTTCAGTCTTCTTAACTCAAAGATTCATGCATATCACAAACTATTATGACGACAGTTTTACTCATAGTTGGGTAAATAGTTTACCCGTATTCCATGTTTTTATCTTTGTTTGAAGTGCAGTGTTTTTAAGATTTCTTTCATACTTTATATGTCATCCTTTTTTTTAGGTTTGAATGTTTTTTTCCAGTAGTGAAAAATTTCCATGTTTGCTGTTTCTTTCAAGTTACATTTCTGATATTTTTATTGAAAATATAAAGACTTAGCCTTTGCAGAACATTTGCACTTAAGTTCTCAGATGTTATTAGCAGTCAGTTCCCCAGCTATTTCAAATGGTCAGAGGAGGATTATTAAACTAATCTAAATACTGATTCTGAGTCATTTTTCCTTGTTTAGCTGCCATTTGCATACCAATGCAGTTTCTTTCTCTTCCTGAGGACTGTAAAACTGACATCTGCAATGGCATGGTTTTGGGTGGTCTTTCATCAAGTTGCTTTCCTGCTGTCATTGATTCCTTGCCATTATACTGACTTTCAAACCTTGTTTCTTTGTTGAAGAGAGTCAATAAGTCAATCTGACTAGCAGGTATATGCCACACCATTGCAAAGTTTTATTCTACTTACCTGTATGTACAGCACAATAATGCTTTCCTTCACGTGCCTGTCATGCGAACTGTAAGACAGCTCTCTAGAAGAGAGATGTTATTGCAAGTGTTGTATGCTGAGCGAAAAATTCTTTTCAAATCTTTTTAAACCTAGTTTGATGCATGAGGACCTTCAGCTATTGTAAATATCTGAAATTTGAGTGCCTTTCAGTTTTATTTCCTTTCAGAAGTGTCTCAATCTGTTAAGTATTAGAGATTAGATATTGCTTTGAACAAAGGACCAGGGTGACAAATAGGCTTGATCTCAGAGGAATTTGTATCTACTCCGTATTTGCACTTTCTCTCTGTCAGTACCTTTAGAGACCTTGATCTGCATCCAGATGAGAACTCCAGAATGCGTAATTTTGATAAATCTACAAGTGTCTTGGTTAGTGTTAATGACTAGGAGACCGTGTTTTCCGCATAACTACAGGAATAACCCAGACTAAAAGAGAACGAGCATCAGAAAATGGAGGTCTTTATTTAACACTGAAATAATTACCTATTTTAGCAAGTATATTTTTACAGTGCCACTCAAGGTGATATTTTGTGATACTGCACTTATACATCTTAACCAGCTTGCAAAAATAGTAAAATTCTCATAAAAATGGCACTCATACTTTGCTGATGGAAGAAACCCCACTGAAGAAGAAAGGAATGGGAATCCATGGTGTTTTCCCATCTATTAGTATTATTGTCAAGCATTCACATACATGATTAAGAAACAGTGACCTGAAAATTCAGTATTAAGTATTTCTCAGTATTGCTCGTTATATTTCAAGTTCCTCTCATTTAGAGGTCTGAATAAAGAAAAATCTACTTAGAAGTAGAAAAAAGACTGCTTTGTGAGGAAAATAGGTGAGTGCATTTACAATTCCCTTAAAGAACCATTTATAGTTTGTTCTCTTTTCCCCTGTACCTGTTGTTTGGACACATGTCCCTCCTTGTCTGCAAAATCAGATTATGGGTAAAAATCCCTGGACTGTGGTTTTCACATGCTTTGCTAAGTATCAGATACAGCTGTCCTACCAAAAGGCAGCCTGTTGTGTCTAGACTGCAGCTCAGCTTCTAACTGGTGAACTTTTAAGCTCTATGGGCCATCATAGTTGCTCTTTTCAAACATGACTGAAATACCTGAGGAGGATGGAAGCACTGAATCTGTTCAATGACAAGAAAAACTCTTTTCCAGGTTGGCTTGAACTTAAGCACAAGAAGTTGTAAACTTTCAGAGTTGTGACTTCTGTGGTGCAAGAACTCGTCTAGGGTTTCTCTACAGGGATTCCATGGAGACCAACACCTTTAATACAAATCATCTAATAAGGTTCTACAGAAATGCTGTGATTTTCTGAAGTAATCCTAGACTAAATTCCGAAACAGATAGAGTCATGGAAAACTCTGTCTATTATCTCTGATTTTTTAAAATATTGGTTATAAATATAGTATAATTAACATGAATGTCTTTTATCTATCCAGAAAACCGTGCATTGGCTTCCTTACCTCAGTATATTTTGCATCCTTGCAATCATTGCATCGTTCTGCATTGGACCAGGTATGTCTATATTTTTCATGTTTCTTTGTACATCAAAGCACAGGTATTTTTGTACTGTTAACAAATTGCTTGTAGGAAACTTCTCTTTACACTTATCTGAAGACCACAAGGGGTCTAAGACAATCAAGGGTGATAGCAACACAAAGTGATAGTGATATTCTTGATAAGAACCCATGTACACATGCATTCCCCCTTAGGTGTCAGCATAGTTGAGAACTAGTGCCTAAATTGCAATCAGTACCATAGGAAAATGTTAGCTATTATTGTAGGATCACTATGATTTTGCAAATCTGTAAAAACCACTCAGGCTGCAAGCTGAGTGTTCTATTTATCAATGCTTGTATCAGCAGTTCGATGCTGGTAGGATGCAAATGGGACACTGGTGGAGGGGGAGGAAGAGGACAGAGTGGTTTCTTTCTTCTCTTCCTTTCCAAAGGCAGAGAAGCGTTGTGCAAGAGGGTTTACACATACTTTCTTTAGAAAGATGATAGAAAAGGTGTATGTCCTGGAGCTGCTTCTTGTCTGGCTGTTCTCTACTGATTCTTTGCATTTCAGATCTGGTGCCCTCACAGGTAACTGTTTCTGTAGGTTGAAATGAGTTTATTGTCAGAGCTATTTTCCCAGCCTAGTTTTGATTACTTAGAGATAGATAGAACTTTATAGACAATCCAGTATTCATAGGTTGTAATTTTTGTATTTCATTTTCTTTAACAAAGAACATGTTTAAGGTATAAGAAAAGTAACAAAGCCAGACCTTTCTCAGAACTGTAGAATGAAAAGACAAGAGCAACAGTCAAGTCTCAGCAAGGGCAATTCTGACTAGATGAAAAAAGAAAAAAATTTATACTAAGAGTGGTTAAGCACTGGAAGATGTTGCTCAAAGAGGCCATGAAATATCCATCTGTGGAGCTGTGCAAAACTCAGCTGAACAAGTGCCTGAGCAACTGGCCCTGATTTGACCAGAGTCTGAACTCCAGCAGTCCCTTCCAACCTAATTTATCCTGTGATTTTAATTGCATCATATCTTTGGAAAACATATGTTAATAGATATGCATGATTTGTAGATACTCACCTGAGTGTATAATTTCTCTAAACAGTATTGCTCTAGCCTTCAGATACTTGATCAGAATCAGATCCTGCAGTTATCAAATAATGAAATGTTAACAAAAATTATTTGCAGACTTATAAAGAAGTTTTAATCCACATTCAATTCACATACAGAATAAGATGTCAAAACAGCGCTTAAATTTTCAAAGATTCTCTTACAAACTGTTCTCCACAGAAAGGGTAAGAATCAGCTGCTTTTTAGGAGTTTTTTCACCGTTGTTCAGCTGTAAACCTAAAAGTAACAGACTTCTGTTCCCCTGAGTTACCAGGTTCTTTTCATGCACCATTTATTGTCTCTTTTTCTTTATAAAGAGTTTGACATTAAACATTAATCAACTGTTTAGTTTGTATGTCTTCACCACTGATGTGATCTAATTAATTGCTTGTGGTTTATTTGGGGAAAGAAGGAGTTGCTGTTGTTTCATGTGACTCTAATGAAACATTGCTGTGATTCTGTGGATCCTCTTTTGGAAAAGCTAGGAAAAATTATGCTGCTTTAGAGGAAAATGGGGAGAAGACCAAAACAATCATTTTTCCCTTGCTTCTGGGAAAACGGTTTGTCACTAGCCTCTGTACTTATTCGTTTGCACATGGTAGTCAAACAGGCTTGAGTAGGGTCATTAACGCACCTGATATTGGACTGTAGGTGGCCTGTGAAGACTTCCTCAGCTCTTCTTGCAAGGCAAATGCTGCAAAAAATCTTGCAATCCCTTTGTCCTTTTGCAAGATCAAATGTCAGGTTCATCTAGGTCCCTAGTATTGCTGATATATGTTTCTTAGACTGAGATTTTTCTTGAAAGAAAAATTCTGTGGAATAGAACTGCTCATGCATTTTGAATACCTAAGGAAAGTAAAATGTTGACTTGAGACTTCTTGAAAACTTCCCTTCCAGCACTTTAAGTAGCTCAAACAATTCAAGTGCAACTACTTGCAACATTTACCTCTGTTTTTTCAAATAAACTGCTGAAACAAATGGTGATTTTTTTCCATGTTACAGACATGTTCCACTGATTTTTAGAATTTCCAGATCAATATGTTCTTACATTTTCAGCATATTAAGATTAACCCTCTGCATTTCTCCTTCACCTAACCATTCTTCAGAATGGATTCTGGTTTTCTTCATTTAGCTTCTTCTCCTTAACTGATGCTATTCAGGATTTTCTGTTGTGCTTTGCACTCTATTTGGAGCAAAGTGTCTGCAGATGCATGCAAGAAAAACAGCTTTTGTTTCATGTTACTTACTTGCTTTCTACAGAAATTCTTAAAATTAAATCTTCTTTTGTGTTTTTCACTGTGCTCATTGCTTTTAAAGCCAAAGAACATTAATACTGGACCAGTAGCTGCCTAGTTGGCCTCTCCTCCTTCCCTGTGTATGTCCATACATTTGTAATACCTGACAATCGTGGGAATATCTCACCAGCATTGAACATTGATTTGCTTTTTATGAAAATTTTGGTAATTGACACTTCAGCTGTTGTGTGAAGTCATGAAGGGTCACATTCTGATGCCTCTGTAAATGGATAGCAATATTTTAGCTGACTTTAATGGACCAAGATTTATCTTCAGTGAAACTTCTCTGTTCTCTTTAGTGGGGCTTAGGAGATCTGAACTACTTTGCCGCCTCTTAGCTAGGAGCAGTTCTCTTTCAGAATATGAAAGGAACCTCATTATTAGCCATGTTTTAAGATGCATGAAAGAGAAGAGAACATGCATATGTTTTTTCTGAACAAATATTACCAAACAGCAATACATCCACTTTGCATCCACTGCTTTTGTGCCCACACCCCCCCGCCCCCTTGCCTACCCCAGTACAGGAAAGACATCAATAAACTGGGACAAGTCCATTGGAGAATCACCAGGTCATAAACAGGAGCCCTGTGACAGCTTTGGGTGTTGCAGTGACAGAGCTAGGCTCCTGTTGGTGCAGCGTGGTGGAATGCTTGAGAGACAAAATGCGTATATTGAAACAAGAAAGATGCAGTGACTATAAGGAAAAGCTTTATAGGCGGTTGAGCAGGCTGCTAAGGATTTTGAGTCCTTAATTAGTACACAAAGATCAAAACTGAGTAGTTCGTGCTTCTGCTCTTTTGTTTCGGAACTCTGTAGTCCAGAGGAAATCTGTATTGCTGGATCTTCCTAGATAGGGCAAGTACTACTTATGAGCAATTATCAATTGATTTAAAATCAGCTTTGTTTTGTTCAGAAATATACTGTGACAGTTATACTAAGACACCTTATATGTGAGAGAGACAGCATATATATATCTCTCATACATATACTAAGGAACTAAGTTTTTTTCTCAGGGAAGTGTGCAATGCCAATGGAGTATCATGGTACACAAAACCATAATTTCTTTTAATGGAAGAGTCACTGCTGAAAATTAACCTTATCTTTCATTTCCTACTAATGTTAGAGTTTTAGCAAGAGGAGGTAAGTGGCTGTAAGAGAGTGTCTACAGAAAAGTATAAACAGGGCAAGCAGGTGAGACACTTTTCCAGAACCAGTACACATTTTTTTTTTCAGCTTAAGGTCTTCCTGAGACTTAGTTTCTAAGATTTTCATAGTTTTCCCATGTATTTGTTCATTCTCCATCTGAAACTGCAAAATTTTGGCGTCCTTTGGCAAAGAACACTACATGTCTACTGCCGCTCATAAACAATATGCTTTGTGTGATGCCCTTTAAGTCCTGCGTTGGAAGAAACGACCAACTGATCCCCTTCCTCCCTCTTCAAGTTTCTTGCAGTCTTGTAGACTTTCACCTTATCACCCCAGATTTTTCTGGGCTGAATGGCTATTTCTTGTTACCATCATTTCAGTGATATTTTATGACACCCCTTCAGCGGGAAAATTTCACACTTCAATACCTAGTATTCTTTTGTAGTGCTCTAGTAGTTTAATGAGACAAGACTGAAGTTTAGGAATATCTTTCCCACCTTTCTGGTCAGTAGAAGAGTTTTTCCTCAAGAAAATTAATGCATATACTTTATTATTAAGTTGCAGATTTTAAATTATTTTAGCCTTTTGTAGAAGTTGTGAGTGTCACTTGTTTGTATTGGTTAAACAGGTACTGTTGTCATGGTATTACTAACGCTTGGTATCTTATTTAATTCCTCCTGTAGTTATTTAGAGCATTTCAGGATTCTTCAGAGTAAATCCCACATGGTTTGTAATGATTCTATAACTACAGATCTTAATCTAGGATTAATTCAGTTTATGTTCATTGAGCTATTGGTACTTGGAGGAATTATCCCATCTGAAAATAGTAAATAACGTGAGAAATTGAGCTTATGAAAATACTGCTATAACTTTCTAGAGCATAAAGTTGCCTTTAAAAATACAGTATTTTCTCTCTTGTTACAACATCTGATACTTCTTGATAGCTTAGATGTTGTGTGGTCTCCCACTTTCTGATAGCATATGGATGAGTTCCATCTGCTCCTTCACAGCTAGGATCAGCTGTTACTATAAACGGTGGGGTTTTTTATTTGTTTCATTTTTCTGAGCTCGGCTTTTCAGCTTGCAGATGTTTTTTATGCAGATTGCTAGGGACTGAAACAGTAATGCTAACAACAGGTACGTTCAGGCATGCGTGCGATTTGGTACTTCATCATTTTTTATCAAAAGACAAATAGCAGAAAGCTTTCATTTACTAAAAATTAAAGGGACCCTTATGTTCAAGATAGTTAATCTATGATCTGAAAGAAAAATACCCTTCAAAAATTGCTTATTTTTGATAGGTTAGGGAGCCATGCTGTTCCAGACAGTTTCTTCATTGTGCCTATTTGATTAATTATACACAAGTGAAAGTATTTGGTTGCAGAGAAAGACACTGCTTTCCAGTATTACATTTGATTATGGGAACATGTTAGTAAATAATTTTCGGTTTTGTTTCA